GGGGGGGGTGGGTGGGCAGCGGCGGGACTCCCCCCTCCGCTCTGCTACAACGTTGAGCACAGCAGCAAATAGCAATAAATAAAGGCACAGGCATGGGGGACGGCCGCAGGGGCCTCTTCATCACTTGGGCTCCACTCCTTGCACGACTCCATCACCACCTGCTGCGGGGGGAGAAAGGACATCAGGTCCATTGGGGGCGGGCAGACCCCATGTGGGAAGGCCCAGTTCCATGGGGAGGGGGTCAGAACCTATTTGAGGGGGGAGCGACCCCTCTGGGAGGGGTTGTACCCAATCATTCTGGAGGTGGGGGGTTGGGAGGAGGTCAGCCCCTCCTCCTGGAGGACCTTTAAGCTGTTGTGCCCCCCCCCCCCCCCCCAATTTGGCAAGTTTCCATTGCTTGTTTCGCCATGACTTCCTATCTCGGTGCACTGTAACCCAAAACAATACATGTGAAATCCAAGCAAAAAAAGTCCTTGCACCTGGTGGATGCAAAGATAAAAGCAGTCTGTTGTGACTCCAGTGGGATTGGTCAGAAAAACAAGGCTGTGCGCACACCAAGCAAAGCCAATCTGGAAAGCTGTAGAACAAGCACTCATAGACTCCTTTTGCTAAACGAATGTATTCATCCTTGAAGGGACAGACTGATCTCTATTGCTAAACCAGCCTATGGGGGGAGCAGCTTCATTAGTGGGGTCTAATCTATTAGAAAAAGGGGGTGGCCTCCACTGGGGAGGGGTCAGACCCATTTGGGGAGGGCACAAATGCCCACAGCACAATGGTTTGGATGAGCACCACCCTCCACGCAGGGCTCAGTGCTGGTTCAAGCATTGGGGGAGGGAGAAGCCACCAAAACCCTTCTCCCACTCCTCCAGACAAAGCCTTAAGGTGGGGGCACGAGGACACAGCTGCAGCCCTTGGGATCCCGGCCACCCCTCACTGCAGTTCCTGTGGGGATGGAGACAGCGGGGCGCAGGGGGAGGTGACCCTGATTTTGCACTTCAATCCAATAATGGGATTCAATGGGAAAGGGATCCTCTCCAATGGCTGAAGTCTACACAGCTGCTGTGCTCGGCCCAACGCTGCACCCCTTGGTCTCCCAGCATCCAAAGGGTTGCATCCACCACCCCGTGCTCAGGGTCCCATCTCAGCGCTGCCCTCCCCACAGGACGTCCCCCTGCCTCACCAGCCCTCCTCACTGTTCAGCAGCTTGCGGTACGTGGCGATCTCCACGTCCAGGGCCATCTTGACACGGAGCAGATCCTGGTACTCGTGCAGCTGCCGTGCCATCTCCTTCTTCATGCACTGGATCTCCTGCTCCAGCCTCCCCATCGCCTCCTGGTAGCTCCTGATCTCCGTGCCAAACTCATCCTCCATCTCCTGCATCTGTCGCTGCAGTGCTTCATTCTGCAGGATGGAGGAGGGACACAAAGGGATGGCAAGGCGATGGGGGGCTCCTTGTACCCCCCAAAATCCCCCAGTGCTCACCATGCCCTTCAGCCCATCCACCTCGGAGGTGAGGCTCTGGATCTGCCTCTGGGATTCGTTCATCTCCTGCTTGGCCACCCGCAGCGCCTCGCAGTTACGGTTGGCAGCATCCGAGAGATCAGCAAACTGCAGGCACCGTGGGGGGCGAGAGGGAAGAGGGTCAGCATTGTGGAGGTGCCCCCATCATCCCCACATCAGCAGCAAACACCAAGGTGCTGGTGCGGCGGGTCAGCCCTGGGGGGTGTCCCCATCCCATGCATGCCCTCGTGGGTACCTTGGCTTTGTACCACTCCTCAGCTTCCTGCAGGTTTGTGACAGTGATGCTCTCATACTGCGTGCGGATGTCGCGCAGTGCAGCTGTCAGATCCGGCTGCTGCAGCTCCATTCGTGCCCCCGCCTGTGGGCTCTGTGCATTCACCTCCAGCTCCCACAGCTCCTACGTGCCCACATTACACCGTCACACCACAGCCCCCACGCGGGACCCCCATCCCTCCTTGGGTCCACCCTACAACCTCCTCGTGCAGCTTCTTCAAGAAGCTGATCTCATCCATCAGCAGCTCAATCCTGTGCTCCAGCTCCAGGCGGCACAGCGTGGCATCGTCCATGTCCTGCAATGGCTAAAGCTGCAGGGACTGC